CAGGCTGGAGTGCAGTGGCACGATCTTGGCTCACTGCAACCTTTGCTTCCCAGGTGCAAGCGATTCTCCTGCCTCAGCCTCCTGAGTAGCTGGGATTACAGGTGTGCACTACCATGCTGGGCTAATTTTTGTATTTTTAGTAAAGACAGGGGCTTTCACCATGTTGGTCAGGCTGGTCTCAAACTCCTGACCTCGTGATCTGCCCCCCTCAGCCTCCCAAAGTGCTGGGATTACAGGCGTGAGCCACTGCACCCGGCTAAAATGTTAATTTTTAATAAAAAATGTTAGGCCGGGCACGATGGTTCACGCCTGTAATCCCAGCTCCTTGGGAGGGATCTGTTAAAATGTACACGCTGAATGAAGAGACCCCCAACAGGGTTTGTGTGAGCAACGTGGATGTTTATTCACCTGTGTGCGGGCAGGCTGAGGCCGGAAAGGGCGTCAGCAGAGGGTGGTGGAATAGGAGTTGGCTATAGGTTGGGGCAAGTGATCAGTTAAAGGCGGTAATCTATTTTAGGGAGGGGAAGGGCATCACGGGATGCATGGTCACAATGGTAGGGGTTATCTATTACAAATAGGCATGATCATAACGGTGAGGGTTATTGATTGCAAGCAGAGGGGAGGGTGCTGTAAATTACATAGTTACAGGGGTGGGGGGTCTTGAGAAACCCAGTGTCCAGGGGGGGAAATTTCGTAAGGCTAAGCAGGAACAATGGTTTCAGGTTGCAGGGGGAGAGCAATTAGTTGAGGCAGGAACAAGTTATTTCACTTCTTTCTGTGGCCACCTGATTACTTGTGGTTATCTCAGACTTTCTGGCTTCTGGGGACCATCCAGAGGTGTCCTTGCGGGTCACTAAGGCTATAATGGCCAGGCTTGGACTTAGAGGCCTAGCATTCCCATCTTTTTATATATGTATTAAAGAAAAAAGTTGGAGAAGGGACTGGGGGCGATGTTTCTCATGACTTTTTCGAGTGTGACAGGGCTGCACGGACACCTAAAAGAAAAGTCTGTGATTTGTGTAGTTTAGTAAGTGTTTGGCCACATCTTTGGAAGCATAATAGCTTTAGTGATGAAACCTTGGGCCAAGGTTGGAATAGTGTCCAATGTAGGGGGTGTTCCCAGAGGTCTTGGATTGAAAGAGATATGTGCAGGTTCTGGAGAGGTCATGCTGCATCTTGACATTAGCCGGGCGCTGCCTGGAGCTCATGAGTGATGGATTGGTGTTTCTGCTTGTTCCTGGAAGGGTGAAGACTATGAAATAGGGTTGGGGAGAAAGACAGGCAAATGAACAGGGAGGGTTGGCAAGGCGTTTTGCCTTAAGTGGCTGAGAGGTCCTGGGGACAGTGGGTAATGTTAAAAGTAGCATTTGCCACGTAGAGTGATTAGTGATGGCCTGGATACGGTTTTGTAGGAGTTGAGAGACTAATTGGAAAATGCGAGGTCTGAATAAAAGAAGAAGGAAGATGGACATAAGGGGAGTAAGGATTGGATGGTAATTAGGAAGGAGTAGGGAATGACAGAGTTGGACTGAGA